TCCACCACAACCCGTCTACACACCTCCACCACAACCCGTCTACACGCCTCCACCACAACCCGTCTACACACCTCCAACACAACCCGTCTACACACCTCCACCACAGCCCGTCTACACGCCTCCACCACAACCCGTCTACACACCTCCAACACAACCCGTCTACACACCTCCACCACAACTCGACCCAAACCGACCTATGACTCGACAACGGCACGTCAGACAATTGCGCCGTAAAAACCGTTGCACGGACTCTAATGCCAGGAACCATGAGCGCACCCGCCGTATGAAGAAGCAGAACAATCGAGCCCTAAACATCCTCCAATGGAATATCAGAGGCCTGCGCAGTGCCAAAATTGAGCTCCTTCGGCACATCGACACCAATCACCCAGACATTATCTGCCTTCAGAGACATGGTTAAGCACAAATATAGATATTTGTGTGCCTGGTTTCTCTATTGAACGAAGTGGCAGAGATGACGGAAACAATGGAGGCGGGGTCGCGACATTGATTAAAGATGGTATTACCTACCACCGATTCCATGATGGAGTAGTTGCCAACCCCGACTCCACAACGGAGTTCGTAGGCACACTCTTGTACTTGCCCGGCAGAACCCTTAAAGTCTCCAACCTGTACATCCCGCCACGCCACAAAGGTAACTTCGTTCCCCACGTACTCAAGACTGATGCAAACACCATTGTCGTAGGTGATTTCAACTGCCATCACCCTTCGTGGGACCCTTACGTCGACCAGTGTGCCACCGGAACAGAAATTGATGACTGGGCCCTCGACAATGATATGATTGCTCTCAATGACGGCTGCGAAACAAGAATCGACCCGAGCAGTATGCTCAAATCAGTCCCTGATATTTCCTTCTGTCATGTTTCACAGGTAGCTTATGTCTCTTGGCAAACCAGTGACACCCTGGTTTCTGACCACAAAGCCATCGAAATCAAACTCTGTAGACACTCTGCCCCCACCCGTAGGAGCAAAACCAAATGGTCATTCAAGAAGGCTGACTGGTTGTTGTTCAATGCCCTCATGGAAACATAGACTTCGGTAAATGACATGCCTAACATGACGGACGCCACAAAATTAAACACGTGCCTAACTGAGGCCATTTTAAAAGCAGCCAAACAAAGTATCCCTAAGGGCGCTCGTAAACTTCCTAAACCCTTCTGGAATGAAGAAGCGGACAAACTGATAGAATAAAAAATGCAATTAAGGAAAAAAGCCTTG